CTCGCTCTCATGAATCATGTTCACAGTCAGAAGAAATGTATTCGTCCTCACGGTTCTCCGTCCGCTGCGAGCCTCTGTAATCTGACTCGGCAGAACAAACCTCGTATCTCCTGACTCAAAGCAACCGGAGGAGACGCCATCGATCTCGGTCGAGCGGCTCCTCTGCGACGCTCCGAGGATTTGGACGAGCTGTCGTGTCGTGAAGGTCAGAGCGAGTTACTGAAACTCAACCAGGATTATTTAAATGTCTGATTCACAGAGAAATTTAAAAAAAAGTATAATTACAGGGTTTTCATGCAGCTCAGAGACAAGAAGGATTATTTTCCTCCTGCTTCATCCGTCTGTGGGAACTTTCTGTGCGTGTGTGTGTGTGTGTGTGTGTGTGTGTGTGTTTCATCAGAGCTGAATCACATGTCAGAAGGTGACGTGTCCTTTTCAGTTCTTTGTCTCACACACACACACACACACACACACACACACACACACACACACACACACACACACACACACACACACTTTGAGTGACAGCATGTAAATGTTAAGCACACAATGAAATCACAGCCTCACACTATTATTATTATTATTATTGTGTGACGAGGTCGTTGTGTGTACAGGTGTGTACGGCAGCACAGGAGGAACACAACAACCTGCAGCATTTAACCTGTTGGAACAATGAGAATAATAATGAATGAATAATAATGAATGAATAATTGGACGTGACGACCGAAGCTGTGAACGAGGATTTTACAGAGTCCAGTTTTTTCTTGTCTCTTCTTGTTGTTCGGTCTCTGGACGAGATTTTATCACTTTATTTCCTCTTCGTCAGGATTATTGTTAGCATCCTAGCATTAGCCTGTCCATTCAATTACAGTGATTATCAACAGCAGTGGGGGGACGGAAGAGACACAGAAAATTACCTCTCCCTCTCTCTCTGTCTCTCCCTCTCTCTCTCTCTGTCTCTCTCCATCAGTATCTCCATCCCTCTCTCTCTATATGTCTCTCGCCCACTCGCTCTGATCCTCTGTTTGTCAGTTTCAGTAAAAATGATCTCAACTTTAGATCCTTTATTTTCTTGTCTTTTATTTTATTCTCTCATCCTTATCTCTCCCCCTCTCCCTCTCTTTTTATCTGTCTCTCACTCCTCCCCATGCGAGACTCAGTCGTCTTTAAATAGAAACTGGAGTCACACACTCAAACACACACACACACACACACACACACAC